TATATTAAAGCATCTTAAAAAAAAAAAACAGATGTTTTTTGCTTTCTTTCTGTAGCAGAACCATTACATGCTATTAGTTTATTTGAGTTTGAAAAACTTTTCCCGGAGAATTTTTGTTTGTAAAATCTAGATCACCCAAAGCCAAAGTAACTTTTAAGTGGTAAATGCTAAGCCTGGTTTTAAAGTCTATATTTAACACTGCCAGGGAGAGAAATGCCCCGGGGTACTTTCCCAGCGTATGCTAATTAGCTGAAAAAGAATACTTTCTTTGCTGCCATTGGTGGAGAAACTGACCAATAGAGGAGTAGTTCAGCACCTACACCCACTCTGTACAAAATAGGGAGGTGTGTTTGTACATGCCAATAACTCATGCTCTTGGTTGCCTCACAACTAGTGACAAGTGTGCCTTTCATCATCTCTTACAATGTTACCTTAAGATTCCGAACTTTAATCTAAATGAGACTCAGAAAAGAGGAATGAGAGAAATTAGACATCATTTCTAGTAGCTTATAAGCATACACACTTCTGACATTACAGATTTTGAAGATGATGGCAGTTTTTTGTAATACTGCATGGATTTTATCCACTAACCAAGGTGATAGGCTAGGTCAAATGTCTACTATAGGGTAAATTGTAATATAATTGGTCACTTAGGTATGACCTAGCATGACTGTGGAGTTTCCTCTGTGTGTTACAATCTCATTGGCCACCTGTGCGTGGCCAGGCCCAACCACATGGCCTTTGCCCTTAAAAGCTAGTCTGTGAAACAGAGAAAGGTCACCCTCTCTTGTAAGAGGTGCGGCCCTGAACGTTTGGTTTGATTCCTGATGCCTGGTGCAAAATAAAGCTTTCCTTGACCTTCGCTTTATATCAGTCTTGCTCCTTTAATCACGGACCCATTATTGGGGGACCTAACAGAGAGAGTAGGCTGAACTGTGGAAAAATACATCCTAGTATTATTCCAGGCTCCTGCTTAGGCATGAGGCCAGAAGTAGCATAGAAACAGTCACCTGGAAAATTACTGATTCTAAAGTAGGAGAAGAAAGAATGTTTTCCCTCTACTCTCCGAGGTTCTCTGGCTGGGGACCTAAAAATGAAACTGACAAAAGACAAATTAACAAGAAAGAAAAAAAAGTTGTGTGTTTTCTGTTTTTATTTTTGAGTGAGATGGCATTAATGCCTTAGTAACACTAGCAGATCAAAACCTAAGTCTGGGGACGCCTGGGTGGCTCAGTTGGTTAGGCGGCTGCCTTCGGCTTGGGTCATGGGCCCAGCATCCTGGGATCGAGTCCCACATCGGGCTCCTTGCTTGGCGGGGAGCCTGCTTCTCCCTCTGCCGCTGCCTGCCACTCTGCCTGTGCTGGTGCTCTCTCTCTCTCTCTCTCTAACAAATAAATAAATAAAATCTTAAAAAAAACAAAACAAACAAAAAGCCCTAAGTCTGTATTGCCTGAAGGTTAAGAAATAAAAACCTAAGGAAAGTCAATCACAAACAGCAAATCAGACTATGCCAAATAAAGTAGCTGCTTAAGTTAGAACCAGATAGTTTCCTTGCATTGCTCTCCTCTCTTCTCTATAAAGTCTTGCCTCTAGCTCCTATCTGTGGAGCATTCTTTAATGATTTCTGGTTTGGGGCTGCCCAATTCCAATAGATTTTTGCTCAAATAAACTCTTAAAATGTTTACTATGCCTCTGTTTACCTTTTAACAGTTCCATGTTGGCGGTTCATTAGCCCAAATCTCTAGTGGCTTTCTCAAGACTCACATGTCCTCACTTTATATTTTATAAGTTCCCATGCTACCCACTTGCCCAAAGTCTCATGACCTGTCTTGGGAATAATTTCCCAATAGTCACTACTATCAAACCACTGAATTCTTTAAAATATAAAGTAAAATACAAAGGAGCTCACCTTAATGAAGGCATGGAGTGTTGTGTTCACTTGATTCTTTGGGACATTATAGAATGGTCCCTCATGTTGAGTTCATGTACATTTGTACTACCTTTAGCATCAGAGATTCAAACAGCCTTAGCATAAAATTCAAAAGAAGCAAACTACTGGTGTTATCAACTGTGGTAAGATATGGAGTGGTACGGTTTTTTTTTTATCCATTTAGTTGAGAGAGCATCAGAGAGAGCATCAACGGGTGAGGGGCAGAAGGAGAGGGAGAAACAGGCTTCCCCTCAACCAGGAGTCCTACGGGGAGTCAGTCCCATGAGCCTGGGATCATGACCTGAGCCAAAGGCAGATGCTTAATGGACTAAGCCACCCAGATGTCCCAGTGGTAAGGTTTTCAAATGTAATTCCGAGGACTGCAATAACATCAAACATACACATATTCTTCAGGACCACCTAATTGATCTTGTTCATCATATGACTGTAGGTTATAGTCTATTAGAATAAAAGGATATGGCCTTGTCATGATGTTCTCAAATGGTGGGCATGCAGTTTGTAAGAACTTAAAAAGAAGGTCAAAATGCCAAGCATAATTCAAAATGTTTTAGGTTTCCAAACTTAAAATTTCCCAAATCAACAGTTCTTGTTGTTGCCAAAAGTTTTCACATTCGTGAGAGCAAAGTCCTTCATTACCTGGTCTGAATGTTTGGGATATTACAATACATGGTACTACATTATTGATGAACGGTCAAAAGTAACACAATTGTTGGGGCACCTGGGTGGCTCAGTTGGTTAAGTGTCTGCCTTTGGCTAAGGTCATGATCCCAGGGGCCTGCTATCGAGCCCCACATTGAACTCCCTGCTCTGTGGGGAGCCTGCTTCTCCCTCTGCCTGTGCCTGCTGCTCCCCCTTCTTGTATTCTCTCTCTGTCAAATAAATGAATAAAATCTTAAAAAAAAAAAAAAGTAACTTAACTGTATTTAAGCTTTGGCCACCAAAATACTCCATCAATATAAAAGGCCAAGACATGTACTAAAATGTACATATTATCACTAAGGGTCAAAGCTCCAAACTGGAAACTACTCTAATGTCTTTCAAAAGAATGAATTCATAAATTACGGTATAGTCACAAAATGGAATAAAATGAATCATCTACAACTACATGCAACAGTATGGAAGAATCTCGTAAGTATAAAGTTGAGTAAGGAAGCCAAACACAAAAGAATGCATACTTAATGATTTTATATATGTCAAGTACAAAGACAGGCAGAACTAAGTCTGTGTTGTTGACAATCAGGACAGGCAGCGACTGGAAGGCATGATGGGGTTCCTGGGTGTTAATAATGTTCTGTTTCTTGATCTGTGTTGGATACAACAAAGGTGTTTGGAATGTGAAAATTCATTGAGGTGCACACACAGCTTGGAATGTGTGTACTTTTCTGCATGTATATTATGATTCAATAAAAAGTTAACGAAAGAAAGAAAATTCTAGGAAGCCCATGAAAATAGAATCTCAACCCAGCATAATAATCCTTCAGATCATTACCAGAATTTGTGGGTCACCAATGTAAGAATCAGTCTCTAAATAGAGTAGTTAAACTGGATTCAGAACAGCTGTCCCAGGAGCAGGATACCTGATATGTCAAAACAGGCTAATAGTTTCCCTTTAATAGCTCCAATCTGTCTGCTTTCCCCTCCCTTAAGTGGTATCACCGTAGCTTAAGCCTGGTCATCTCCCACCCTGAATTTCATCCAAGATGGTCTCCTCACCAGCTCCTAATAGCCTATTCTACCTGTTCTCTACACATTAACCTGTGATGTAAAGTCTAAACTAGATCCCTTTATTTCCTTGCTTAAAATGCCTCAGTAGAATGCCATTACACTTAAAATGTAATGCAAACTCGAAGACTTGGGTATATGGTTTGACCTCAGTCCACCTCATGTCATGCTGTTCTGCCTGGCCCTATGCGCTAGAGCCATACTGCTCTTCTTTCTGTTCTCCAAAATGTCAAACTCTTGCCCCTCAGGACCTTTGTCCTCTCTGCCCAGAATAGTTATCGCTTTTCAGGTTCCTCGGCTGACTACTGATTTCCTTCTTACTCTTCAAGTCTCCGACTGAATGGGATCTTATAAAGTTCTCTTACAACAACCCTCCCTCTCTAATGTCAACCTTCTCTTATTCTCTATATCCACACTTTGTCTATTTCTGTCCTTGACGTGATTCCTGTTTCATATGCTTGTTTACCTGTTTGTTTGCTCCCTTTTCCTTATTAGACTGTAAGTTCCGTGAAGGCAAAAATCACGTGTATTTGTGTCCGGATTGCAGCGTCAATGCCTGGTGCAGTGTCTGGCATACGAAAGGTCCTCCATAAACATGGAAATATCTGTCAAACGAATGAATCGACGTTCCCAAGGAATCACAAGACGTCTGTGCAGTCACGAAGAACACTGCACTGTGAGTTTTCCAAAGAACTGCAGTGAAACCAGATGCCTTTCAAGTCCTTCTGCCGAAGTGTTGGCATTCGTTCTCGGTTTCCTAGTTGTCACAACGACTGCACCCTTGCCACAAGGGACGCACACCCCTCCTCGACCCGCTGGCGATTTACCCAGTCTCCCGATCCCACCCACCTCCCAGGCGCCCCTTCATTGGCCCTACCGTCAACGACTTCGGGGAGGGCGGGATGTCACCTCGAGCCGCTACTGGCCCAGGTCGACGTCCCTCTACCGCGAGCTGCGAAAAGTCAGCCAAACCAAATTGCAGTCGCGGGGAGGCTCGTTCCGTTGAAATCTATGATTGGCTGCGACCGAGGGCGGGCGGCCGGCGCACAGCTCTCCGAGCGCGGATTGGCCAGGGTTGCCGTCAGTCATCAGGAACAGACTCTCCCCCCCCCCCCCCCCCCCCCCCGCCATCTGGCTCACTGCGGGCGAAAAACTGGGGAGATTTTCCAGCGGGAGAGCCAGTGGCTGTGCTAGCTGCTTGCTCCAGAAATCAGAAACGTCGGATAAGGCAATCTTACTTGCCCAGCGGGGAAGTCCCTTCCCCGCCTTCCGTTAATTAATTAGAAAATTTCCAGGGACGTGCCCGTCGCGAGGTAAGAGCCTAGAGAGTGCACTTCATTTATTGCTAACAGTTTATGATATTATTTATAGGTGGGGTCGCATCCCAGCGCTCAGAGTCTGCGGAATGGAGGGGAAACGGAGGGTTCGTTGGGGAGGGGAGGGGAAATGTAAGTCCAAATCCCCAGCCCCACAGTCAGCGTCTGGGTTCTCTGTGCGCCGCTTTCTTCTCTTTGGAGGTCCTGAGTAGCACGTTCTGTCGCGGCCCACCCCGACTGCGCTGCGGGCAGTGGGCGTTTGCTGCCGGACCCCCCACGCTCGACCTTAAACTTGACTTGCAGGCTGGAGGCGCCACCATTGCGAGTGGAGTGGGCGGGGGTTGGAAGGCAGGAGGGACCACGAACTGGATGGTGGAAAGGGCGGGGGCTGCTCGTTCGCGTTACCCCGTAGCGAAGATCCGGGTCGCCCGGCTCCCACTCCGGGCTTGAGGATGCTGCAGGGGTCAGCGTCGCGTTGCCGCCGCAGATGGAACCGGGGTGAAGGAGACGTGGCGACGCCCGAGATCTGTGCGGCGAGAGGGTGGTTGGGAGGCGGAGACCGGGCGGCGGAAGGTGCTGGAGGGAGCCCAGCCATCTGCAGCGCTGCGCGGGCGGGCGGGTGTGCTTCCTGCCGTGTTACCGCACTGGCTACTGATCTGTCACAGCCAGCGAGCTAGCCCAGGATCCTGAACTGTCCGAGGATGAGCGTTTAGAGGACCGGAATAGAGCAGGATGCAGAGCCCTGGTTGGTGTCGATCTGAGGATGTGGGTTTTGCCTTGCCAGGAGAAGCCTTGTGGCTGGTGATGTTCTGTGTTTGTTTTTTTTTTAGTAACCGCTTCATGTAGGTGAGAGATTTCACAGGAGGCGACAAAGACGAGACTCCGGGTGGAAATAGCCAGGGAATTTGGAGTCCCTAAAGCTCCACTGGCCTTTCTGAGCTTCAGACTGAAAACGTGCAGCAAGGCCGCTTAAGCCCTTTGCACTCATCCTCCACCAGTGCGGAGGAAGGAATGAGATTGTCGCCGGTGTCAGAATGAGTGACAAGTGACGGATTATAATGGTCTTGAAGAAGAGTAGTGATGTCATGGTATTAGAGGAAGAGAACAGATGCACCACTGGGTAATAAAGTAGTTACAATTTTTGAGCAGTGAGTTCTTGTTAATGTTTTTTTCTTGCAACCATAGGCACTTTCTGTTGACACAGGCAACTTCCTTGACTAGAATCTTACTTAGAGAAGAGGAAAGAAGAGGGGAGATGTGCTGTTGATGTAGTATAGAATGCCAAGGAAAATCCTTAAATGAAGTATAAAGGTACAGGTTTGGAACGTGGTGTATGAATTGTATCCACATTAACAAAGATGTTTTAAAATATATCTATGGAATTAGAATAATGAACACTTTTCACGACTTTCCTTCCTCTAAACATCTAAACATGTTCACATCAAACCCAAGGGGAATCATTTGGGGTTTTTATTGTTGTTCTTTCCCTCATGAACATTATTATACTTTGTTTCCCTTCCTCCCAGCAGAGTACTGATAAAATATTGGAGCCCACATTTCCTGAAATATTTGAATTTACTGGGATGCGCTGCTTGTCTTTAAAAAAGTTGATAAATATTTGAGAATATTAAAATTCCATGTGTATCCTTTGTGCAAGTTACTGATGTAAAGGTACCTGAGTTTTGCTTTATAATGGGCAAATATGAATATTTTCTTACATTTTTTTGTGCTGGAGGGGTAAATCTAAACAGCTTTCTGCAGTACTGAACCATAGAATGACTGAATAATTTTGACATGCACTTGAAATTTCAACAATACATTGCCCTTTTGACCTGCTTTCAGCAGTCAACAGTTTAACTGAAATCCCAAGTGTATCCTCTTTCCAGAAACAGTGAGTGACTCTCTTATCCAAAAATAAATTTGGATAGCTTTGAGATATTTAAGCCATTGAGGGGTTATAAAATGGGAATGATATGAAGATGCAAAACTGGCATAGCAATCTTGTAGCTATATATTGTGGCTTTTCTTCACCGTCTTTTATTTTTAAATCAAGTATGTATTTCAAAAGTTCACTACAAACCAAATACATTCTTTTTCTTCTTCCTGATGCATTTCACCTGAGATTTCCTACTCTTTCGCAGGATGTGGGCTTTCAACAGTGCCCTCATGCAGAATTTCTGTGCCTACTCGCATGGTGTCAGAGCTTACTTCCAATGTAACCCCCTTTGCTGAGAATCCCTCCTGCTAGTCAGAATTGTTAAACCAGGTGCCAACATTTTTCACTGGTCACGAGTTCTGTGTCAGGACTTTCAAGTATCCTATTAAACTTTTAAAACATTAAGGAGGAAGATGGAGAACCCCTGGTCACACAAATCAGTGTGAAAATGATGAAAAAGGAAAATGTTTTCAGGCATTAATTTATTGACAGTATGTAGAATATATAGGGTTTCTTGGTGTGTGTATACATGTGTGCATACTCACATAGTTAAATATTCATGTGATTAAAAGTAAATTTGTGGGTCATAAATTTTTGTTTTGATAGGGAAATAAAAAGGAATTTGGGACAGTTTGATTTAGAAGGAAAATTGTCCTTTTTTTCCCCCTTTTGGTCTATGACTATCAATATAGTTTAGGTTGGGGGCGCCTGGGTGGCTCACTGGGTTAAAGCCTCTGCCTTTGGCTGGGGTCATGATCCCAGGGTCCTGGGATCCAGCCCCGCATCAGGCCCTCTGCTCACCAGGGAGCCTGCTTCCTCCTCTCTCTCTGCCTGCCTCTCTGCCTACTTGTGATCTGTCAAATAAATAAATAGAATTCTTTAAAAAAAAATCTATATCTATCTATCTATCTATATATAGTTTAGGTTGTTGATATAAATAACCTGTTCTGTCACTAGGATTCCAGCCAAGTTATTTATCTTTATTTTCTTAAGATTGTTTTTGCATTTTATATTTGCTAGTTGAATATGATGTGTGGGTAATATATGCTTGTGCTCTTGGTTGATTTAACTCTTGCTCTGACATTTTTGTGTCTTCAACTAGCTTTCACGTGGAATTCTGCCCTTTGACTCTTTTGGATGACTTACTTTCAAAGATTGAATATAAATGTTAAAATGGTTTAAAAAATAACCTAGTCTTGATTTCTGGCTGAGAGATTGACATAAAAGATTACTGAATAACTTTTGGGGGAGGGGCAGAATGATAAATACATGCCAATTTATAATTGTCAAACGGACAAATAATAAAAATATCTCTTAGGTGTTTGTCAGGTTGTTTTCCACTCTTTTTGTTATGAAGGACATTGATTGGGTTTTTTTGTTTGTTTTTTGTTTTTTTGTTTTTGTCCCCCCCGTACTTTGGGTTTCTTCCCCACATCATAAATTAGACTCTCTTGTCTGCTAGTCAGTGTGTAGTCATTTCTGTGGGCATTTGGAGAACTGGGGGCAGCTAATGGCTAATTCTTAGCTTGAATCCTGGAGGAAACTTTTTTTGATGAGCAGGTTTAATTCAAAGTAGTTATTTAGCTTGGGAACACAGGTCGTCTTTGGATGTTTCCCCAGGGAATAAGGAGATTAATATGATTTAGTTATATTGCTTTGGAAATATACGGTCACCTGCTTGCATACGTGGTGCTGATCTAGTTCTATATCTGGCTCACGTTTTATCTATGCCGAAAGTATCCCCCAAAGTAAATATTTTCCTATGACTCTTCTGCTTACTTTCTGAGATGATTGTGCAGATAATAAATGAGGAAGAAGGCCAGGTTGATGATGGATTTTAGTCTAGCGAGGCTTTTATTATTATTATTATTATTATTATTATTATTATTATTATTTTAAGATTTTATTTATTAACTGAGAGAGATCGCAAGTAGGCAGAGGCAGGCGGGGAGGCGGAAGCAGGTTCCCCGCTGAGCAGAGAGCGGGATAATGGGGCTAGTTCCTAGGATCCTGAGATCCTGAGCTGAGCTGAAGGTAGAGGCTTAACCCACTGAGCCACTCAAGTGCCCCCTGCCAGGGCTTTTACAGAAACTGCCCTACTTCCATTTTATTTCATTCTTTTTTTTTTTTTTTAAGATTTATTTATTTATTTGGGGGGGGGGGGTCGAGAGAGAGAGAGCGAGAGCGAGCCCCGGAGTGTGGGGAGGAGGGAGTAGGGGGAGAGAATCCCCTGTAGACTTCGCGCTGAGCACAGAGCCCAACAGTGGGGCTGGAGCCCATAACCCGCAAGATCAGCACATGAGCCGAAACCAAGAGTCCAATGCTCACCCGATAGAGCCACCCAGGCGCCCCCTTTTATTTCATTCTTAAATAATGTTTACGGTGGATATTTGTTGCCTGCTAAAAATGCAGCTCTGGTTTTGTTTGTTTTTGGAGGAGAGAGAGAGAAGACAAGAGTGCTCTAGAAGAGCTGCAAAAAAAATTTACTCAATATTTATTTGCTTCTAATTCTAGAACTCTTGTTTAAATTAGGTGAACAACTGCAAAAAGGCCCAAGGCTGAATAAAGCGCACATGATTTCAGACTGAAGCCAAAAGAATAGTACTTTGCTTATACAAAAACAGACTCATTATATTGTGCCCCTGAAACTAATACAATATTGTATTGTCAATTACAGCTCAGTGTAAAAGAAAAAAGAATTGTGCTTCACTAATTTCTGCTGCACTCTTCAATATGAATGGTTTGTAAGAAGCGTATCTTAAAAGTTTTCCTTTTTTTCTGTATGGTATAAAGTTGCTTTGTGAAGTATCTCCATCAATAATAAGTTCCCTAGCGTAGATTGTATTATAGTTTGAAATTTCTTCCCAAGTCCTGACCTTTATTTAACACAGTTATTATTGCTGAATAAAAAGATCACCTTCTTGGGGCGCCTGGGTGGCTCAGTGGGTTAAAGCCTCTGCCTTCGGCTCAGGTCATGATCTCAGAGTCCTGGGATCCAGACCCACATTGGGCTCTCTGCTCAGCAGGGAGCCTGCTTCCTCCTTTCTCTCTGCCTGCCTCTCTGCCTACCTCTCTGCCTACTTGTGATCTCTGTCTGTCAAATAAATAAATAAAATTAAAAAAATAATAATAAAAAAAATAAAAAGATCACTTTCAGTCAGAAGCAAAGGGATAAACACCTTTTTTGGGTAGTTTAATGTGTTGCTTCTGTTTGATACTTGATAACCAGAATACTACATCTCCTCCACCCCTAATACTGTCATAGAAGGTAGTTTCAATCTTCTACACGTGCTATTAGCTAAAAGGCCAAGAAGGAATGGCCTCCTAAGTCTTTCACGATACATTCATTCTTTGGGAGGCCTTCATTATACTAAATTCTATGAAGGCAGGGCACACATGTTTTTTGTTGTAGAGATATCTAAGGGAGCTCTTTATTTATTTATTTATTTATTTTATTTGACAGACAGAGATCTCAAGTAGGCAGAGAGGCAGGCAGAGAGAGAGGAGGAAATAGGCTCCCCACTGAGCAGAGAGCACGATGCAGGGCTCAATCCCAGGACCCCAGGATCATGACCTGAGCCGAAGGCAGAGGCTTTAACCCACTGAGCCACCCACGTGCCCCATAAGGGACCTCTTTAGAACGTCATCTTTTCTTTCTACTGTTTTATTTACTGTTCTTACACAGCTAGACTGATTTCCAAAAATTTATTTTGAAAATGATTATTTGAGATCTGCGGTGCATGTACTTATGGGTTCACTCAAGTTGGGCTTTGTGTGTGTGGTGTGGATATGTGCCTTTTGTTGAGGTATTTTTTCAACTTTTTATTGTGAAATAATTCAAACATACAATTGAGAGTAATATAATACCTGTATACCCTCCACCAGCATTATCAAATCTTGACATTATGCTATCTTTTCCAGTTGGTTTTTTTAATACATTAAGTAACAGAACAAAGTAGCGTGGAGTTGAATTTTTGCTTGGAACCTTGTATGGAAAACTGCCAGGAACACAGCCCTTCTTGCAGGGGTGTAGGAATTCCCCCTGACAACACCCAGGGGAGGATTCAGCTTTGGGGCAGAGTCCAGAAATGGGGGTGCAGAGGAATAGGTTAAAAGAAATGTGGTCTCGGGGAGCCTGGGTGGCTCAGTGGGTTGAGCCGCTGCCTTCCGCTCAGGTCATGATCTCAGGGTCCTGGGATCGAGTCCCGCATCGGCCTCTCTGCTCAGCAGGGAGCCTGCTTCCCTCTCTCTCTCTCTCTCTCTGCCTGCCTCTCTGTCTACTTGTGATCTCTCTCTGTCAAATAAATAAATAAAATCTTTAAAAAAAAAAAAAAGAAATGTCTCGGGCAGTAGCTCCCAGTCTGCAGGGCACGCAAGGGCTGGGCTGCTGGACTGGTAGATAAGAGACCAGCAGCTGTTAATGTAAATGCATAAATCAGTTGCTCATAACTCACAAGGGTGGGGTCCCCCATTCCCAGTGATCTCACACATCAGAACTGTCTCTTCCTTGTGCCTGTGGGAGTGTTTGCATGAACCATTCTTCATTAACAATTTAGTTGGCAGTTTTTAAAAAAATTTGATTTATTTATTTGTCAGAGAGAGAGAAAGAGCGAGTGAGCACAAGCAGGGAGAGCAGCAGGCAGAGGGAGAAGCAGGCTCCCCGCTGAGCTGGGAGTCCGATGTGGGACTCGATTCCAGGACCCTGTGGTCATGACCTGAGCCGAAGGCAGCCGCTTAACTGACAGAGCCACCCAGGTGTCCCTAAGTTGACAAATCTTAAAACAGAATTTAGATCCTAGGTTGTGTCTTTGTTAAAACTTGGGCACTCTGAGTACAGAACTGTCCTTTTTTTTTTTTTTTTTCTTAAAGATTTTATTTATTTATCTAAGACAGAGATCACAAGTAGGCAGAGAGGCAGGCAGAGAGAGAGGGGGAAGCAGGCTCCCTGCCCGGCAGAGAGCCCGATGCGGGGCTCCATCCCAGGACCCTGGGATCATGACCCGAGACGAAGGCAGAGGCTTAGCCCACCAGACGCCCCAGAACTGTCCTATTTTTTAAAAAAGATTTTATTTATTTATTTATTTGACAGAGAGATAGCAAGAGAGGGAACACAAGCAGGGGGAGTGGGAGAGGGAGAAGCCGGCTCCCCGTCCCTGCTGAGCAGGAAGCCTGATGTGGGGCTTCATCCAAGCCTCTGGGATCATGACCTGAGCCAAAGGCAGACACTGGACAACTCAGTCACCCAAGCGCCCCTGTCCTAACTATTCTATAACCAATTACTTTTACTTCTTTCCTCCTTAAGAGACTTTGGAACTGTCAACACTTGCCCCTGCCTTTTCTTCAGAGCAATGGCCTTAACAAAGGGAAGAATATTTATTTACACCTATATTTTACATTCTTGCTATGCAAAGTATGGGCCTGAGGGATCAGCTGTTTGCTGTCACCAGGGAGCTGGCTCAAAATGCAGAATCTCAGGTTCCACCCCAGGCAGACTGAAGCAGAATCTGTGTTTTAAAAAGTTCCCGGGGTGACTGTAGGTTAAAGTTTGAGAAAACACTTGTTCTACATGATACATACACACTGTCAAATGTTTATAGAATTTAAACACTATGAAAGGGGTATGTAAATCAATTTTGGTTTTGATCCATTATTTTTAGAAGTAGGCTGTTAGGTGCCGCATACTTTATGGCCCTACGTTTTGGTAATATCTAAAGATACCTCAGTGACATGTGAAATTACTGATGGAATCTCTCTCTCTCTCTCTCTCCCTCCCTCCCCCCCTCCTCAGTTGCATCATTTTTCTTGAAGACATTCCATTATTGTTCTGTTGGTCTTTCCCTCATTCCCGAGTCCTTTGGAGTTGAGGTATGTCCACAGCTGCCTTAATTACTTTGGTGAGAAGCGGTGGGAACCACGTGAGAAGGAGAGTGCTGCTAAGCTCCCGCCTACTGCAGGACGACAAGCGGCTGACACCCACCTGCCACAGCTCCACGTCGGAGCCCAGGTGTTCTCGGTTTGATCCGGATGGTAGTGGGCGTCCGGCCACCTGGGATAATTTTGGGATCTGGGATAACCGCATCGATGAGCCCATTCTGCTGCCGCCCAGCATTAAGTATGGCAAGCCAATTCCCAAAATCAGCCTGGAGAACGTGGGCTGCGCCTCGCATATTGGGAAACGGAAAGAGAATGAAGACCGGTTTGACAGCGCTCAGCTGACAGATGAGGTCCTGTACTTCGCGGTGTATGACGGCCACGGCGGACCTGCAGCCGCGGATTTCTGTCACACCCACATGGAGAAATGCATCATGTAGGTACAGTGGCTTTCACTCTTGACTTTGCAGTTTACCTTATACTTCAGGTTTGAAACGTCAGCCTTTTGGCTGAGATGTTCAGAGTTACCCTAGTTAATTGAGTGGTTCCATACCGTTGGTTGACGAGCAAGCAGTAGCTTAAGCCTGCCCCTTGTTACTACTGACGGTTATTACCATTCTGCCTGGTGGGGACATTGACCAAGATCAACAGCACTTAGATTTGTGATTGTGTCAAGCTAAGTCGTACAAGCTGCACGATCTCATGTATTATGAAAAGCATTTACTCCTACCAGTGCACGACCTGCGGTTTTTCAATAAATGGTAATTCTTCCCAGAGGTACCAGTAGCTTTAGATGATTGACAGTAGTGTGGGGAAAATGCATTTAATGAGGGTATTTTGGAGCTCTTAAAAAAGTTTATTTACTGCAGTTATTAATGTATTTTGGGGACCATATGACTTGAATTAAAAGAGGGGGAGAACATGACTATTTCTTGTTTTCTTGTGTATAGTTATTCTGTTCATCAGTTGATTTATTCATATTTTGAACTCAGTAATGTAAATTTATTTGAAGGAAATTTTGATCTCTCAGGGTTGTGGGTAGAGAGTATTCATCTTTAAGGAGGGAGACTTGGACTTTTATTGTTCTTAAAGGCTTATTTCCTAGTCTAGTTATTTCCTAATTTGATTTGCTAATCTATGGATTTTAAGCATCTGAAAGACAAACCATGGAGGTCCATTGTATGGACTAACAGCTAGCTAGAGGGACCTGGATGAAGAAGAGAAACCTATTATAAAACAGTTGTTTGGAACTCTTTTTCCCTCTCCATAAAGGGACTTGCTTCCTAAGGAGAAGAACTTGGAAACTGTGTTGACCTTGGCTTTTCTACAAATAGATAAAGCGTTTTCAAGGCACGCCCACCTGTCTGCGGATGGTAAGTAAAACAGTCACATTCCTTAGAGTCTTGGGGGGCTTGTCTAATTAAAGGAAACAATTTAAGCCCTTTGGGGTGGGAATGTAAGTTTATTTATGAGGATACTTATGTTGAAAGTGGTTTTATAGAAGGAATAACTTTAAATGCTATTTGGAATACAAATTAATGTTAGAACCTCATTTTTAAGTGAAATATCTTGGAGAAATTTTCAAAAATTGAAGCTCTAAAATGGTTCTGATACTGAATTTAAATTTTAAAAAGATTAAAAATTTTTAAAATTTGCTCTTTATATGTAGGAGGTCCATACTGTTGGAGGGTTTACAGTTTTGGGTTTTTTTAGATGAATCTGATGAGCAAGTACCGAAAGACACTAGAGGGTGATCTCATTTAGCCATGTAGTAACTGTCCAGACAAGAAGAAAACTGCTAACTGGTCCTAAATAAGAAAAAATAATGGCTAATATGCACTGTTTTGTTTAATTAGAAGGGAGAATTTGGTCTTGCAGCTTTGTGGTAACCAGGGATGTTTTTGTTTTTATTTGTTAAACACAAGGACGTGTCAGCTGAATTTTTAAAATTTATCTACTGCATGTCCTTAAATTTTGAAAGTGGAATGTTTCTGATTTTGACCAAATTTATCAAAAGTGTTCAGAAAAACGGAACTTGTGTTTTCTAATTAGTTGACCCCCCAAATCTTTTGTTCCTGGAAAACTTCCGCAGTGACCATTTAAATGTATGCATACATACCTCATAACTGATTTGAAAGTGAATGGCACAATATTAATCTGTGTTTGGTTCACCTTTTCATTTAAAGGAAGTCAAAGCACCAGAGAAATAACATTTCACAATTTTCAGTTGGAGAGCACAGGGAAGGAAATTCTCCTCATTTCCCTGACAAGGGCCAGTTGCAGAGTGAGGGCTGGGATTTCCCTGGCACCCACAGTAGCCTCTCTCATGGGCATGTTTAATGATGAAGATCATAGAAGAAGAGTAAGATGGCTCTATTCACCACCTTAAAAGATTTTTCCTGCCTTTTTTTTTTTTTTTTTTTTTTTTTTGAGAAACTTATTGTTATCATACTTTTTGGAAAAGCATCAGAGTCCACTCTCTTTGTTCAGGGATTTGTTTTCTTGTTTGTAGATCATTCGGCCCATTTTCTCTTCTTCATTCCTTTGGACTTTTTTTCTTCCAGCTGGCTCCTCACCTTTGAAAATAGAGGTTGAGAGAAGGTAAATTGTAGGTATACGATTGAGCTCTTGTTCCTAATGGGTCAAATATAGGAGGTAGAAGAGAAGAGTCAAAAACACTTTCTTGTAGTTTTAATTTTCTGACTCTGAAGATTGGCATGCTCTGGTTTCATCCATAACCAGGTTGGCTGTATCTCACACCATGGTGTTCATTGGCTCTAATGCGGGGGGTGTGTCCCAGCTGTTACTGGGCTCTACCTGTCAGAAGAAAACCCTCAAGCTTATAATGGGGAATGTGTGGGCCAGCAATCAAACATAACCCTTCATGGGTGCAGTCAGCCCTTTGGTAAAAGATCTAATCGACAAAGATGCTGCAAACTGAGATTCGGCGTATAAGAGGACCCCTTTCATTTTATAAAATAATACATTCTAATTAAAGGGAATTTTGAACTTAAGGAAAAAAATTGTTTAATTGGCCTACCTTAAAAGAAACTTTCTAAAAGTGTTTTACTCAGAGACAGTTGTACAAAGTCAGTAATCATAAAAAATATAATTATTTTCTAATAATAAATTTAAACTGAATTTATTTAACTTAGTTCATCTGTCATATGCCTTGAGGTAATGATCTCAGAAATTTCATAAGGTAGTCTAAAATTTACTTTTCATGTAATGGCCATTTGTTTACAAGTACAGTGGAGCACGACAATGTTACCCAGTGTGCTACTAAAAGAAAGGGGTCTACTATGACATTGTTGTTCTTAAATCTCGTTTTCTTAGAGATCACTTGGTCTGTGTGTGTGTTTTTAAATAAGTATTTTGGGAACAGCTTTAAAATTTATTCTTAGTAAGTTGCCAATCTTTTCAATGTTGCTAAAAACTGCCTTTTGGTATTCGGGGCCTATTTTATCAAATATATATTAAAGCCACCGAAGATCGATGGTGTAAGTTATTTACCTTTTCAATTTGTGGATTAAAAAAACATGTTTCAGATTTCAAAGGTATTATTTAAATTAAAAACTTTTTTTTTTGTTTTTTGTTTTTTAGTAAGAACTGAAGCTGTGTCAGCATTATAAGAATGGATAATGTTCTTTTGGCAGAGCTATGGGTAGGATCCAGGCTAGTTAAATAAAATTGTGAAGTTAAGTGCAGTTTGCCCTTTCCAGGTTTTTTGTGGGTTTTTTTTTTTTTTTAGCCTTTTCTATCAGCATCAGTCCTATTTTCTCTCCTTGATCCCTTCCAGTGAAGGATTTAAAGGTAGGGACTGTGCTTATTCATTCTGAATCTCCATCGCTGAGCACCCTGTATAGAATCTGGAAGGCACTCAGTTATTTGGACTGACCTGATCTCCATGTCTGTTCTTTCTCACCAAAGTTATTACAGTTTATTCTTTGATTATTCTAGAGCCAATTTAACGAAATTATTAATACAGTGTATGTGTTTTAATGAGTCATCTGTGTGGATTTGAATTTTAAGTAGGGGAAGCCTGAAAAGAGATTGGTTAAACCATGGGAATGAATCAGTAATGGTAGAATTTGGGGTATAAATGGGAGGAGTACCCCTCAATTATACCATATTAGCTTTCTTTCTTTTTTTTTTTTTTTTTTAAGATTTTATTTACTTATTTGACAGAGAGAGATCACAAGCAGGCAGAGAGGCAGGTAGAGAGAGAGGAGGAAGCAGGCTCCCTGCCGAGCAGAGAGCCCGATGCGGGGCTCGATCCCAAGACCCTGAGATCATGACCTGAGCCGAAGGCAGCGGCTTAACCCACTGAGCCACCCAGGCGCCCCCCATATTAGCTTTCTTGAGAGAAAGTAAACAAAATAAGGTGAACATAAAACATTTTCCTTTTCAAGAATTTAGTCCAAAGCTGTCACATTTACATAAAGTGCTTCAGATTATTCTGTTATCATTTAAAATAGTATTTCAGTTTAAAATGCGATGGTTTGGGCGCCTGGGTGACTCAGTGGGTTAAGCCGCTGCCTTCAGCTTGGGTCATGATCTCAGGGTCTTGGGATCGAGTCCCGCATCAGGGCTCTCTGCTCAGCGGGGAGCCTGCTTCCCTCTCTCTGTCTGCCTGCCTCTCTGTCTACTTGTGATCTCTCTCTGTCAAATAAATAAATAAAATCTTAAAAAAAAAATGCGATGGTTTGAGGAGAAGAAAATCAGAATGCCACTTACCAAAAACAGCAAGAATCTTGCCCTTAGAAAGTTGCTGGCTATTTTTATTGATTTTTTTTTTTTAAAGACTTTATTTATTTGACAGACAGAGATCACAAGTAGCCAGAGAGGCAGGCAGAGGGGGGCAGGGAAGAGGTTCCCTGCTGAGCAGAGAGCCCAGTGGGCTCACTCGATCCCAGGACCCTGAGATCATGACTGGAGCCGAAGGCAGAGACTTAACCCACTGAGCCACCCAGGCGCCCCTGTGGATTTGTTGTTGACACATTTTGAAATAACCCTTATTTATGAAGCTAATTTCATTATTTTTAAATATTTTTGTATTCAATTCATGCCAGTCATACGTATTTTGACAACTAATGAAACCAGCCAGCAAATTCAAATGATTTCCCATTACGCTCCTGTCTATGAACAAATCTCACTTAAAACAAATGGGGTGGTAGAAAACCGAGATTATATCCTTTACATTCTATAAACTCTTCCAAGTGTTTCTGGATTGCTTAAGGCTTGAAAGCAGCAAAGTTCCCCAAAAGACAGATGGATCAGAAAGAGAAGACTCGCTCTGACGTTCAGAGTGTGAGATGTTGCTGGCAGCATCATGAGTCCCATTGGAAACGTCCATGTGCTTCACAGTACTTGATCCCTACAAAATAACCAGTGTTAGAAAGCCGGTGTTTTTGAGTACCCGTCTTACACTGGGCGCAGCCAAAAGAAAAGAGCAATAGGGATGACATTGAAGAGATACTTATTGTGCTGTTACTGCTTCAGTTCATTACTTGGATTTCAGTGTTCATGAGTCCTGAGTGTCTGGACACCCGTGTTTAATAAATACTGGAAACCGTATTGGTTTATACATATTATTGTTTACACAGTAAACAATTGTTACATAGTAAACAATAATTACTGGGAGGGGTTGTTTATACTTTGAAAAGTACAGCTTTTACTTTTATGTTGCCATTCAAAAACTTGATCATTTTTCTTTTGATATGTCGACCTGCAACACCGGGGAAAGAAGAGAGCTGCAGAAATACCCATTTTGTGACTTCCATAAACTTACAAATATGCACCAGAGCTCAAGAGCCTTACTAGCCGATATTTAAACAATTAATTTAAATCAGTCTACTGAAAAAAAAATTAAGTGTCATTAACAAATATGTACTTCTTGTATCTGGTACAGGAGGTGCTTTAATTCCTTCTTAATATATATTTGACTCCCAGTAATTTGGTGGTATACTGTAGTGAACATCCTCTCTGATTATGTACTGCTTGTTAGATACAAAATATTCACCGCAGAACCCATAAATTTTCCCGTTAGTTACTGGGACAGTTCTGATGCTAGTACCAATCAAATTGACAATGCCTTTTTTCCAGCTCTGTAGAGCTACTGTCTTACTTCTCAGGACTAACTGTTACAGTATGTGTGAGTGGTATGCATGTGTGAAAGAGAGAGTATGAATGTATAGATGTGTTTCTGTGTTAACACTGCATATATGTTTGGTATGCCTGAGTTTGCATATAGTTTTCCCAACCGTGGGAAGCTGTGAAGCTAGGAGGTTTTACTCTGCAATGAAAAAACGGATTCAGCTACAAAATACCATCAACTTGGGCAAACTGAGTCTTGAATTCGTTGATCTGGCACCTCCTGAAATACTATGTAATTTGCTAGTGAAATTTTCACCCAAATAAAAATGCTTCCCCTTATTTTGCAGCTCTTTCTCTGCCCTCCCCTGTGTTGCAGGTTTGTAATGTTTGAGCACAATTCCTGGGTGAATTTCCTATTTGCCTCTGTGCGTGTTATTTGTGGCAGAGAACTGTGCCCGGTCAGCAGCTCTAGACCTGGAGCCCGTGGACACTATATGCTGGGCTTCAGTGGAAAGAGAGATCTGCTTAATTTTGTCCCAGGTGAAGGAGTCCAGCGGTTCCTAGCCTGGACTACTGGAAGGTTCCCACATCCTCTTTGTCCCATTAGTTGAGATGACTTGCAGTAGGAAATGTCCAGTGAGTGTTAAGACCTTATTGAAAGATGTCTTAGTTTTATAGTTTTTGTTGTTAGGGCAAAAAATGAGAATTTTTACTTCCATGTTAAATGTTAAATGAAATAAATGTTTATTTAATCTTTATTTCTTAGATCCTTAGCAAACCAGAATCAACAGTTAATTTTGAAAAATTTCCCATAAATCTTGGGATTTTGGAACTGTGAAGTTGGGTTGGTTAAAACTCAAGACCTTTGAAATTCCTGGGTGGCTGAGGTGGACGTGAATAACAATAGAATCCTAAATAGTGAAACTTGGAAGTGTTCGTTTATGAAATTTTAACTCTTTTGATATAGCTAATTAAAACCACCTGTTTAAAAAGCTGCTGATGATCACTTAAGCAAAGGAGAGGAATACTAAGTTTCTTGGACAGGTAGCATGTGAGTGACTGCCTGTGCTCTCTTGCCTGGTGCTTCCCATCATTGGAAAAGATCACAGTGGTTAAACTCTGACTGTTCCATGATACAATGTTTTGGGAAACAGAAAATTTAACTTTTATAATATGAACATCATTGATTCTTATGCTAAAACAGTCACATTACACAATGACAGATATGTAATATGTTTTAGCATTGCTGAGATACTATCTTGTGCAACAGTTCCAAAATCGAAAGATCAATGGGAAGATAGTGCAGCTATAAATGCTATTTCTCAATAAATTAGATTCAGCATGGACAAAAAAGATTAGGATTTATTAATTTTTTTCCATTTTACATTTCTGATTAAAGCAGGCATTTTAATACACCAATTGGAATATGAAAATATATATATGTGTGTGTATATATACATCCAAAATGTATTACTGATGAAATTTTTAAATGCATTTTAAAGCATCTTTTTGGAAAGAAAAAAATTGGAAATATTGAGCCTCAATCAGTCAAATCAGTAGCACTTTCCTAAATCTACCTTTGAAGAAGAAATCATCTTTGGATGATCACCTGAATATTTTATTTACATGCTTTAAAGAATTCACCATGTTACTGAACACAATACCTGCTTTAAATAAATTATCTTTTTCAGTTTCTTCCAATTTGCTTTACTTTTTAGCCCTTAATTTCACAGTAGTTTCACTTTCAGCAAGGCTCAATGCATCTTCAAAATTTTTAACACGTAGTAAAGAACTTAGGGCAGATGCAGTTTGAATAAATCAAAGAAAGAGGCAAAGATGCAGTTTGGGTTGGATGAAGGAAGCAGTGGCAACCTCAAACCAAGTGTTTAATTTTGTTACTGGTCAGAGAAAGTTAAGTGAACTAACACTAAGTGTTTGGGAAACCAGCATGAACTTCGTTCTTCACACCCCATATTTTCCTAATAAAATGATGGCTGTAACTTTTTTTCATGTCTGGGGAGGACAAAGATAAATAGAAAAGAATATGGACCTTTAACCATTTTAGGATTTTTTTGGTGAACATTTGTAAAATTAAAACAATTGTAGAAGGAAAGAATATAAAATATAGCACTTGAAGAGCAAATGATATGCTCTTGGCATTCTTGCTTAGCTTATTAACTGATAATGCAGTCACAAGATAGGAGTTAAGAAATGGAAGAAAAAGCCTTCTAAGTGCATAAAAATTTTAGAAAAGTCAGCTTGCCTAAGTGAGCTCAGTAGACCTAAAAATCACCCTGCCATTTTAACTAATGTAATTAAAATGGAATACTTTTAATACGGACACCTGATGTATACACAAGGGTGTCATAATTATCAGTTCAAGTCAGCTCTAGTTTATATGAATAGAGGCCATGCGGAGACAGTGTTGTATTTTTTACCAAATTAGGTTAGCAACCTTTTCTGTTTGCATGGAGCCTTGTTACTGAATTAAATACTTCTTCCTCTGCATGCTCTTACTTACATAGTTCCTTTGCATTTTATTTGCGTAGTTTTAGTTAGATTAGAATGACACTTTTCAGCACTAGTTTAACATGCCTGTGTTTTGTAATACAAATTCCATATCCGATCATTTGACTGTCACTGACTTATACTCTTTTTCATAATGTTTACAGCAACCCTTCTGACCTCTGGGACTACTGCAACGGTAGCCCTGGTGAGAGATGGTATTGAACTGGTTGTAGCCAGTGTTGGGGATAGCCGGGCTATTTTGTGTAGAAAAGGAAAACCTATGAAGCTGACCATTGACCATACTCCAGAAAGAAAAGATGAAAAAGAAAGGTACCACCTCCACTGATCATTCTATGAGGATGCTGTTTCTGTAGTTCAAGATAGAAATGAAACCTTGCATTTTATTTTTATTTTTATTTTTTTTGAAAGATTTTATTATTTGAGAGAGAGAGAGAGAGCGTGCATGAGCAGCGGGGAGGGGCAGATGGAGAGGGAGAAGCAGACTCTCTACTAAGCAGGAAGCCCAACTTGGGACTTGATCCCAGGACCCCGAGATCATGACCTGAGCTGAAGGCAGAAGCTTAACCGACTGAGCCACCCAGGCACCCTGAAACCTTGCATTTTAAACCGATTTCTCTTAAATATAACCATGCCTCCATTTCTGGGATATCATGTCAGTCTTTTTTTCTTGGACCAGGATCAAGAAATGTGGTGGTTTTGTGGCTTGGAATAGTTTGGGACAGCCTCACGTGAATGGCAGACTTGCAATGACAAGGAGTCTTGGAGACTTGGATCTTAAAACCAGTGGTGTGATAGCAGAACCAGAAACAAAGAGGATTAAGGTAACAATCTGCAACATCTGATACATGTGCAAGGAATGAAAGCAGGATTACTCCCAGCTAGAAGTCTTCATTAAAGCCAACATGACTCTCGAAAGGAGTAGTTTATGGAAGGATAGATGAACTTTTCAGATAAAATAAGATACTGGCCTGCTGTAGGATGAAGTGCTTGGTTTTTGCTTTACCCTGGACTACGATGGCCTGGTGGAATGGCTCTGCTGCCCTTCCTCACCAACACGTGATATCCGGCATCACCACCACTCGGAATCTGACCTTGGCCTCCCTTGTGCACCAAACTAAATAATTGCCCACCTTCCTTTCTCTGACATCTTTTGCATGCTGTCGATCAGTGGCCCAGTTAACACTGCACCTCCCTCAACACACACCCATTTGTGAGCTGACACTTCCTTCTCTGCAAGTGCCAGCACCTAGTCCTCTATAATAGAGGCTCCCAACCATGGTGGCAGAGAGCTACCCCACTTACATTCATTGTGTCTAACAGATACTTAAGTAGGGTTTAGTGTGGGCCAGGCTCTGTCCAGAATAGCTACTAGCACCCCATTTTACAGAGAAGACAAATCGAGAGTGTAGGTGAACTTACCTGTGTAGAGGGACACTGTGAACCCAGGAAGCCTAGCTCCAGAGACCGCAGTGCCCACCACCATGGTACCATGCTTGCCTCTCATCATTTGGCTATCTAGATTCTCCCTTTGTGGTGTTACTAAGTACATGCCAGGTTTATCCTTGGTGGTCGATGCTACAAATGTTAATTTTGCCCCAAATATTGGCCTTCCATTTTCACTGTTAAGCTCTTAAACACAGATGACCACTTGGCAAACAGGTAAAATCTTTGAATTTTGGATACTCTTCAAAAGTTGAGTCTGTTTGGTTCTGATTGCAGCTACATCATGCTGATGACAGCTTCCTGGTCCTCACTACAGATGGAATTAATTTCATGGTGAATAGTCAAGAGATCTGTGACTTTGTCAACCAGTGCCATGATCCCAACGAAGCAGCCCACGCAGTGATTGAACAGGTGACAGCAGCAAGAGCTTCTGCTAGAAAAGTCCCAATTTAGGCTGGTGCGGGGGAGGGAGGGGGGTGTGGAGCATGCACGGGTTGGGGGGGAGGTGGGGACAGGGAGAACACCCAGGTGCAGGTCCCGGTACAGCCCCTCAGGGCTACTATGGGCTTAAGAGTCCTTTGAAATTTTGTGTTTTTGCTTCAGTATTACAAGGAATTTTACACTTGACTCCATAATAGTTCCAATTTTTAAAATGTTCACAGTTCTCCCAAGTAGTTCAGAAATTTGTGTGCAGGGAATGTGCTATGTTAATTTTTTGGATTTGTACACAGCTTGATATGACAGGAATAGCAATAGTAAATTATAATTGTCAATAGTAATACCACTTAGTATGTGTCAGGCACTTCACATATATTTAATTCATGTAATCATCACTGTAACCTTCTGAGGTTAGAGCTAGTACTATCTCTTTCCACAGATGAGGAAAACCAAGGCACTGAGGCTGAAAAGTTAAGTAACTTATTCAAGATCACAAAACTATTAAATTGCAGAACTGGGCTTCAAACCCAGACAGCCAAGCTCCCAAATTCAACCACTAGACCATTAAACTAGACTGCTGCAAGTAAATATCCAGTCTAGGAACACTATAGCCTAGTCCTTGTCTGGGTTTTAAGAATGGGTGTGTGAAAGGCATCTGGATGGCTCAGTGGGTTCAGCCTCTGCCTTCGGCTCAGGTCATGATCTCAGGGTCCTGGGATGGAGCCCTGCATCAGGCTCTCTGCTCAGCAGGGAGCCTGCTTCCCCCTCTCTCTCTGCCTGCCTGTCTGCCTACTTGTGATCTCTGTCTGTCAAATAAATAAAATCTTAAAAAAAAAAAAAAGGGTGTGTCAAAAAAAAATTCAGAAAGAGGTATGGTTAGGTCATGTATGAGTATGTCAATCAGAGCTAAAATTGGGAATGCCCAGTAATACCCAGTAAATAAAATGTAGAATTTCCATGTGCTCTTTAAATATTCTGTTTGGATAGATAGCTCTTTGACATTGTAGCCATCACTGATCATTAGAGTCATGCTTTAATTTAACAGCTTTTTTTTAACTTCCCAATTTTTACATTTGCAACTGGGAAGGCATATTTAGCCCAAACCTTTAAACGCTAATATTTGTAATTAAGACTTAAGACCTCACTTAAAGAGTATTTATTTATTTATTTGACAGAGAGAGAGAGAGAGAGAGAACAAGTAGGCAGAGCAGCTGGAAGAGAGAGAGGGGGAAGCAGGCTCACCGCTGAGCAGAGAGCCTGATGCGTGGCTCAATCCCAGGACCCTGAGATCATGACCTGAGTTGAAGGCAGAGGTTTAACCCACTGAGCCCCCTAGGCGCCCTAAGACCTCACTTAAAAAGCAGTATTTGTTTGAAAGTAGATGGGCAAGCATGAAGTATTGTCTTGTTTGCTATGTGTGTTCATGAGATTACAGAAATGGGCCCAGTCCTTTGAATGATCACTTCTTTTCTAATTTCACCTACCTCTCTCAAGTATGTGTGTTCTCATTCACACAGCCAATGCTATTTTAATGATTGCATTGTATTCTGCTATATTTTTGTGCCGTGATTCTTTTACTAGTTCCCCTAATAAGCAAATTTAGTTTCTTTCACTTTCGCATAATATATAGGGAAGGATGGGACGCCTGGGTGGCTCAGTTGGTTAAGCAGCTGCCTTCGGCTCAGGTCAAGATCCCGGCGTCCTGGGATCGAGTCCCACATCGGGCTCCTTGCTCATCAGGGAGCCTGCTTCTCCCTCTGCCTCTGCCTGCCATTCTGTCTGCCTGTGCTTGCTCTCTCTCCCTCTCTCTCTCTCTCTTTGACAAATAAATAAATAAAATCTTTAAAATATATATATATATATAGGGAAGGAGAGCGCTGTATAAACATTCTTGTATCTACTTGTGCACATCTTTTTCCTTCATACATTATTTTCTCAGGTAAAGTTCTTAGAAAATTGCTAGGTAAAAGGATACACTGTATTCTAAAACCTTTTTTAAAAAATATTTTGTTTATGTATTTGAGAGAGAGATCATGAGCAGGTGGGCAGGGTTAGGGGGAGAAGCAGACTCTGTGCTGAGCCGGGAGCTTGATGCAGGACTCGACCCCAGGACCCTGGCATCATGACCTGAGCTGAAGGCAGATGCTTAACTGACTGAGCCGCTCAGGCTCCTTATTCAAAAACTTTTAATAAGCTTGCCAAATTGCCCTCCAGAAGTGCTATTCCAATTTACACTGTTTTCTAGTATGTTTATAGATTTCTGTTTCTCCAAATGCTGCTCATTGTTTTTTGCCAATTTGATAGGTAGAGAAATCAAATTTTAGTGTTTTAAATTTGCATTTTTTTCCTTTGTTGGTGAAACTAAACATTTGCAGAGGTTCATTAGACCCTTGTATTTCTTGTCTGTGTATATAGTGTTTGTCCATTTTCTTATGGGCATGTTTGTCTTTTTCATGGTTATTGTAACAACTTCCCTATATGTTAAGTATATTAGTACTTTGACGTTCGGACCTTTTTTGGGGGGGGTGTCTTAGAATTTATTTGTAAAACTCTTTTATATTTTGATGCTTTTTAAAAAAAATTCTTTTAAAGATTTTATTTATTTATTTGTCAGAGAGAGAGAACATAAGCAGGGGGAGCAGCAGACAGAAGTAGAGTGCCCGCTGAGCAAGGAGCCAGATGGGGTACTCGATCCCAGGACTCTGGGATCATGACCTGAGCAGAAGGCAGATGCTTAACCAACTGAGCCACCCAGGCATCCCAATATTTTGATGCTTTTTACTGCAGATATTTTTATTAACCGTTTCCCTCACAGTTTTAGCCTCAGGCTGTTTATTCTTTTGAAATACATTTGCTGTTTAGTATAATCCCAAGTATTTCTTACAATGTTATATCATTTGCTATTTGAATTCGTTCTTAAAACTGATTTACAGTTCTCCCACTGTAGGAAATTTAGTTTATGCAACTTTTCATTTCGTAGGGAGCATAATAAACCTTATTGATGTTACATCTTATACACTTTCATTTCCTTAGGTTATTACTTTTTACCTTGTATTAGTCCCTATACTAAATGCTTTCTTTTCTTCTTCAGGAGCTACATACCTTGATCTTAGTCCACTGGTATTTCTGTTGCCAAAATTGCTCCAGTGGAATATAATTAATATGGTTTTTTGAGGGGGGGGCATCTGTTATTCTGTGTACGATCTAATAAACATGTATCAAGGTCATACATATTAATACATATTGAATGAATGCAAAGTCACTGTTAACTATTTTAAATGAGTTTATAGCCTTCCAGAGTATCGGTTATTTTTCTTTATACAGACTCTGATTTCCCGTGTTTTCTTCTTCCTTCCTGCTAAACCTTACAGGCAATACAGTATGGTAGTGAAGATAATAGTACTGTGGTCGTAGTGCCTTTTGGTGCGTGGGGAAAGTACAAGAACTCTGAAATCAACTTCTCATTCAGCAGAAGCTTTGCCTCCAGCGGACGATGGGCCTGATTGCTTGCTGGGACATTGAATTGTTGTGAAACACTTGTTCACTGAGCATGTCAAGAAACTTACTATGTCAAACAAGTGTCAGGCTGACTCTGTGACTCACTAGATCTGTACACAAATCAGTGTAAGTGTATTAACCATTTACATTGTAGCTTTTCATAAATATCTGTCTTATTTATGTTCAACTGTACATACTCGGTATCAGTATACATGTAATTCAGCTATTGGGAGTCTCAAGTTGAGTGAGCAAATGAAAAGTGGCTTTGACACACTTGCTGAGTGTTATATGTCTAATTTTTAAAACTCTTAGGCAGCTATGAGTTTCTTTTGATGGTTTTTATCCTTCATTCAATCTGTTGGAACAGATTCTTGCCTTCAAGTTCTTCAGCACTGATAGGTATTTTGACAGCTCTGCAGTGTGTTAGCTGCAAGTGTTTGTTTTTAATAGTTCTGCCAAGGAGTAAGTGTGAAAACTGAGTTCTCTGTGACTATATTTTGTATTCTGGACCACTTACTGGTAAACTTCCCAATGCAAAAGACATTAATTCAGATAATATGACCCTGCTAAAGTGTGTGGCTATTTACAACAGTGCACTTTCGTATTCCAGCTGTGTCCCTTGGTCTCCATTCTTCTCTTTCTGTAGCTAAGAATGCTATATAGCTACATGGACTACTCCTTTATATCAGAAAAGTTATGTACAGGCTGAGTCTTTTGGTCAAACCTACACAAACAAATACTGACAGTAGCAAGTATTTTGTATAAAGTTTCCATTTGTTAGCTCTAACTCTGTGTTTTGTATATAGTATGTTTATGTACTGTTGTATAAAGTAAGCAAGTTGGATAATGTGTCAGTAAAAATAATACCACATTGACTGACAATGCTATAGACATAGTATGAGGTTTGTCTCCTTTTCGCTTATTTCTGTGATTCATAGTGTAGAATAAATCTAAAACATGAAAGCATTCTATATTTCAGCTTGCTAATGTAATTTAGGAATGTAAAACTATACTTCTTTATATATGCATGTAAGTTTGCTGTTAAAATGTGAATCTCTACATGCGTGTTTGGAATTTTATCTGCAGTTTACTTTTGCAGACAATGTAAATTGGTTATATGTGTGGGTGTATGTACCTATGTAAATTTTGGAGTCATGGAGAATTAAAGGGAACAAGCCTGCATAGCTCCTTCACCAGTTAGCTTTAAATTATTGATAAGTTTATCCCCAAGGACTCTTGACAAACAGAGGGCAGTTTTATAGCGGAGAACCAATGGTTATTGGCAGGTGAGGAAGTGAAATTAAAATGGCTGTGGGTGATATTTTGTGGTGGGTAATTGATATGAAAAACACAGAAGCAGACCAGCATGTTGAAGCTACATTGCTGTATGGTAATTTGCAAATAAAATAGTAGGACGTGAGGAAAATACTGAGTGTTAAGAATGATGTGGAGTTTTATTGCAGAGACAAAGAAAGAAAGAAACCAAGAAGGTAAAGTTGGTGGAGTGTATATCTTCCAATCTCACTTTTCATGGTCGACTATTTTTCTGTCTTTATGTTTTATTTAAAGGTTTGTTGTTAGAAGGAACATGGTCCAATATAAATATTCACATCTTCTCATCTTTTTGAGAATAGAAAAAAATAAATCTTGAGTTTTCCTGCATATATTAATCAGGAATTTTCCTTTGGTAAAAATGGTGACAAATATTTCAATTTTTTTTTTCCCCAAGGAAGCTTAGTGAAAGTAAAAAACATTGAGGAAAGCAAATAGTCTCCTGTTCATTGTCTGGGAAGTGAGGAACCAGAGGTAGCCTAAGAAAGCTGGAAAACTTCCTTGGTTCTTTCTGAGTTAGGTCCCAGAACCTAAATATAGAAGCTTCGCTTAGGAGTATGGAGAATTTCCAGACTAAAAAGCAAACAAAAACTCTAAAGCACAAAATGATATTCTGAATATGTAGATTTAATTTTTTTTTTTTAAGATTTTATTTATTTATTTGACAGACAGAGAACACAAGTAGGCAGAGAGGCAGGCAGAGAGAGAGAGAGGAGGAAGCAGGCTCCCTGCTGAGCAGAGAGCCCGATGCGGGGGGCTCGATCCTAGAACCCTGGGATCATGACCTGAGCTGAAGGCAGAGGCTTTAACCCACTGAGCCACCCAGGTGCCCCTGTAGATTTCATTTTTTATCTGAATTCTTCACATGACTCTTCCTGTCTTTTACTTTAGAAACTAAGGATGGGAATGATGTTGTCAAGCTCAAAAGTCACTGATGCACTGAGGCGGATTGTCAGGTGTAACAAAGAGGAGTTTGTAGGCTTGTCTGGGCCTTGGTTTGAGGTGGACTTTGCTCTGTTTCACCTGAAAAGCTTTTAAAATTTGGAATCAGTCAATTTTGACTAAAGCATAAAAACATACTGGTGTTTGTTTTTTAAGCCACAATGTTGAAGTAAAATTTGTAGGTTATTATAATCCACAAAAGATAATAAGCCTACAAGGGATTATGCAAGTAGTAGTGGAAAGAGGACTGTTCTAAATATAGTTCTTTAGTTACAACTGTGAATTTGCCATGTGGCTATTACCATGTGGGTGTAGGTATAATGTAGATTATATATTATTGTAATTAAACCTAAATCCATTATAATTTACACTTGTCTTTCATTTATATGTAGTATATAAATCACCTTTATCAAATGTGTTGCCAAACTATTTGCCAACATTGATTTGGCAAAATATTCTTTAAATCATTGTGATTTTTCACAAGTATAAGTTCTTTTTTTTTTTTAAGATTTTATTTATTTATTTGTCAGAGAGAGAGAGAGAGAGCGAGCACAGGCAGACAGAGTGGCAGGCAGAGGCAGAGGGAGAAGCAGGCTCCCCACAGAACAAGGAGCCTGATGTGGGACTCAATCCCAGGACGCTGGGATCATGACCTGAGCCGAAGGCAGCAGCTTAACCAACTGAGCCACCCAGGCGTCCCCGACAAGTATAAGTTCTTAAGTACCTAATATATTCAAAAGTAAATGCTGTCCTGCTCTCCATCAACTGTTCATTTGTTGTAGATTTTTGTGTTGAAATGTTTCGAGGCCTAAACACATTTTTTTCTGGGAAAAAAATAAATAAATGAATAATTTGTTTGTTTTGAAGGGAAGAGTTTTGAATCTCTGTACTCTATAATGCAAATTTTTCTCAAGTTCCAAAATTAGAAATTACTTGCTTTGAACAATTATTAGCACATAATCTGAATAGAAATTATTTTTTCAAAGTGGAACTTGATTTATTATTATTATTTTTTTAAAGAATCTTGGCAGAGAATGATTTAGGTCTGTGCTAACTCCTCAATATCAGACAGGTCATTTCGTTTCCTTTCTAAGAATGGATAAGGATTTAATTTCATGGTAAGATGATAGTAAGAAAATGCTTCAAGCCGGGGGAAGGCTTGGTTAAAGTTTAGCATCAAACAGTTGAATACAAGCATGGATTTGTATTTAGCCCTTCAGTTGTTCACATACTCTTATCTGTGGAAAGTGACAAAAAATTTTGGTTGGATTATATTTTATTGTACTTACTAGATTCACTTATCTGGACAACTTCAGCAGAAATAAAATGTGTCTTTGCAAGCCTAATTCTGATGACGTGCCCGTTGCTTTCGGTATCTGGAAAGAGACCCAGGGACTCTGGCAGCTCCCACTGGTTGCTGGATGGTTGAAATGGTCCATTGATGGTCAATTGAGTGTTCTGGGCTATGAAACCATGGAGTTCCTCCCCTTCCAAAAATGACATCTGCCATTGGATTCTAGTATAAAATTTAGCAGCTTAATATGTCCCAAATTAATTTAATTTCTGCTGAAAATTAATTAAATATTCCTGTGTGCATTATTTTGCAATTTTACCAAAGTGCTACTTGGGTGTATTCTGTACTTTTTCCTGGTGAATTGATGTCATTGCTGCTTTGACGGTTTGTTTTAAATGTATGTAATAGAATAATTGTGAACAGACTAAAATGATATATCTCAGTGTTCAAAATACCACTTGAATAAAGTACATCCATTAAACACTTTTTGAAATTCAAGTGTGTTTATTTGGAATCCAGACTCCCAATATTTATTATGTGATCCTGTGAACACTGATATTCAAGAGCCAATGAGTAGCTGGGAATTTAATAGCGAAAATCAGGATGTTTACAGAATTAGTTTGAAGAATCTTTGGAAAAAGTGTATACACTTACCTATTCAATTTTTTTTTTTAAATTTGATCTCAAGCAAAATTTGTCTTTTTTAAATTTCCCTCTTCCAAAATATTTGTTGGTGCATCAGAGGAAAATGATCATGATGATTTTCTAATATTTTGCATGTGGTGTATTTCACTATCATTTCTACATATTTAAAAAAATAGAAGTAGGGGTTTGGCAGTGATCCTGCAGACCTCAGCATTACACATTTAACAAGCATTTTTTATTGTCCTATCATTAATTGAATAGTTATGTACCATTGGCACAAGGATATCTCCTGTATTGTTTTCCCAAAGGTAACTTGGTAAACTCCATGGCAGTAGAGATCTGTCTTGTTTTGTTCAAACTCCATACCTAGCACTCTTCAGAGGTTTAGCAATGAGGAGATGTTGAATCATTGCTGATTAATGTTTGTTGAATAAGTTAATGCATTCAATTATACTTCTATTGATTTTTAGTAGGGAAATGGACATTACATACCTTAAATAATAAGCCAAACATAGTATTTAATGGTGAAGGAATGATCTCTCACCTCTTTCAGAGTTTCCTTAGACCATGATCAGTTATGCCTTCATATATGTATGGTTCAGAATCTTGTTCTGAACAAAAACCTTAAAGAGCAGTGCCTCATGAATGGCTCTAACCTTGCTTTTTTAGAAGACTGAGAAGGGGAAATGAATATTAAGAGTCTCTTTTGCATATACCATCTCACTTATTCACAATGATCACACAGGAAACCTTTCTAATTGTACTTCTTATAGATGAGGAAATGGAGCCCTCGTGCAGCTCATAATGGCAAGATACAATTCAGGCCCCCTTGACTTCAAAGTCCTTCTCATCTACCATAACCTCCTTTTGTACATTGGCAAAAGCAAAACCCAGTTACTACTGTCAAACACCTGTGAACATCTATTTGCAGAAGGCCCTCTGGTGCACATGAAGTAGAATTACAAGAAATCCAGAAACTCTTCAGTGGATGGATGAGCGTATTAGAGTAACTGAGCCTCTGTCACAAAAAATAAATTAGTCCAAGCCAATTAAGTATAATGGGAGTGACTGTGAATGAATGAGCAGAATTACTGCTTTAAACAGTACAGGATTATATGAATTCTTATGGAATCTAATAAGTCAGTCTACCAATGATAAGCGTTTACTGAGAAGCTGCTGCCTAGGTCTGCAAATGGCACCAGCCTGGGCCTAGCAGGGCTTGGGGAAGGTAGTGGTTGATTACCTCCCTTGAAGAACTTTGTCAGAAGGCAGGGAAGTGAGGAAAGGGAGTTATACCAGATAGTGTTCACCTGCACAGATAAAGCAAAGATGCTTGGAGCCTAAAGAGATCTAACCAGTGAAGTCCTTAAGCCTTTGCCACATGTCAAGGGTAGGTTCTTTCAAGAACCAGGAGACCTATATCATGTCTTAGGAGGCAAGTGACCAAGGGCAGATCCAGTTACATATTTTGTGCAAAATGAAAACACCAGGCCCTTGTTCAAAACTGATGAAGAATTTCGAAGACCGCAACTGCTGAACACTAAACCAAGTTTGGGGCCCTTTTAGGAACTTGGTCTCCTGCAGCTACGCAGGTTGTGCACCTGTGAAGCTGGCCTTGACCTGAGTGAAAATACTTAGAGGAGCAAATCTTGCAAGTTAATGCAGAACACAGAAGAAAAGAGCACAATGTTAGGAAGGCAAGAATATTTCCCCTACAACACAAAATGTATACAAGCTAGGAGGGCACAAAGCCTTGATAGAGGTGATAGAAAACTTTTCATAAGAGCCAAAAGGACTAACCTTCAATAAAGTTGCCCCTAGAGTTGTCTAGGCATCTTTATTTACAATGTCTAATTTATTGCTCTCTAAAATATTGCAGGGTGTGGGCAAGCTATCGCTACAGATTGGGTTCCCTGGGAAGCAGGCTCTGAGACAGATTTATTAGGCAATGCTCTTGGCAACAGCACATGCAACAGGGGTGGGAAATGGGCAGGAATGGGAAGAGGAAGAAGTTGAGTTGTGATGCAAAGACCCGTGTCCCTCCACAGGGAACTCAGGGAACCCAGGAAATTGGGACGTCCCTTCAGAGTTGTTTGATTTTTGTCTTAAATAAAATGAGGCCTTTATTGTTTCACAAACCAAAGCAAGGTGAGGCAGCCAGATCATGAGTCACAGGTTGGTGACATGGAGGCTGGAAAAATCCATCGTGAGCATCACTGAAGAACAACAATATCCATGAAGGTGAATCTCCTCTGCAGGTGGCCTGCAGAACTGAGATACGGTCCTTTAGGGTACAACTGGGTCAGGGATGTGCCCTAATTAGAGAAAAAGGAACGGGTCCCCATAAAGGCTCATGCTACTTATTATTTTCTCTAGAGAGAACATAGATATCTACTCTCCTGAACAGGTTGGGAGTGACTAATGCACACCATGGAGACCTGGCAGGTGGTAGAGCTGAGATGACTTGCGCCACAATAACTGGCAGTGACAATTTTGGGAAGCGCTCCAAGCAGGTTAGGAAGTATAAAACAACTGTTGGAAGCTTCTTCCCACATATCTGGAACTTATGAGGGAAATTTCCCCACTGTGTGTATTCCGATGTATGAGTTTCAACTTCAGGAACGGATCTCCCTCATAAAGGTTCTCCTTCAGTGTTATTATATTGAATAAGGAGAGAACATGTTCCCTGCATGTCTATGGCTTTACTTCATGTGAACTTTCCTGTGCCCAGGAAATGAATCAGCTGAAGGCTTTCTCAAATTTACTGCACTCTTAAAGATTATCTGCTT